GGAAGGGAAACATTTGCTGAGAAGAGTGGGGAGGGGAGGAGGAGGAGGACAGGGAAGGGGAGAGGAAGACAGAGGGAGAGAAACTCCTTTCTTTTAAAAAATATATATATTTTTATTTATTTCAGAGAGAAAGGAGAGGGACAGAGATAGAAGCATCAATGATGAGAAAGAGTCATTGATCAGCTGCCTCCTGCACGCCCCACACTGAGGATTGAGCCCGCAGCCCAGGCCTGTGCCCTGATCTGGAATTGAACCATGACCTCCTGGTTCATAGGTCGACACTCAACCACTGAGCTACAACCAGCCAGCCAGAAAGTCCTTTCATTGTATATCAATACACAACCTGTTTCATCATATGCCACCTGTGTATTCCTTTAATAAACCTGCATTGGTGTTTTTACTCTGGCTTTACCATCTCGGAAAGAAACAGGTTCTCTCTGTGAATACTGAGCAGATGTGTATATTTATTAACTAAATCCGGACAAGCGGTTTCCTTGTGTGTCACTGAGCTTGGGTCTGTGGAGGGATCGCTATCACCTCACTATACAAGGTTGGTGGGTAGCAGGGCCACAGAAAAGAACGTGCCTGGCATAACCAAGGGCCATGACCTCTATTCTGAGACCCGAGGGACTAGGGGAAAGATGGCCTCCGAGGGGCAACGAGGTCGTCCTGGGGCAGGAAGGCGTCCCCACCCGCGTGTTTGAGAACTGCTTATAACGAAGCACCTGCTCTGTGCCACGTGCTGGCCTATGTCCCCGGGGAAGAGGGCAAAGAAAACAGAGGAGCCTGAGTCTTTAAGGAGCTTGTGACGCTCCGAGTACAATGTGACATTCTACCAGAAGAGCATGTCTGTAATGATGTGTTACACAGCACTGGGGTGCGCAAGGCACACACACTGCATGGGTTTCCGGAGGGGGCCTGTGTGGGCGGGAGAGGCAGAGACTAGTTTGGCTGCTGACCACCCATTCGGGCAGAATGGCGTCCCGGTCCCTGTACCAGTCCAGCATTGGGTGTCTATGTGTCTACGCGATACATCTCAGAGGTCAACGATGAAGCGTTACCTGCAGGATGGCTCCTGCGTGTTGATGGAGTGTTCGCACTTCCCGTGCTTGCAGAAGCCGTTGTAATGTTCCGGGCAGGGGATGTGGTGTTCTCGGGCACTTTCTTCCAATTTGTTAGCATTCTCTGTGGACACAGATAAAAGCAAGCGCCCTGTCAATACGTTTCTGAGCCCGGTAAGATCAACCAGACACTAAGAAGCAAAGTTACAGTAGGTAAAAGTATTCAAAAGGGCAGGAACTAGAAGGCCACGCCTCAGAAGAAAGGGAGAATTGAAAGACAGACATCTCTACAATTGTGTTTAGAAAGGGAGCTGCAGAATTACCCCATGCTTTCATGCTTTTATGCAGTTTCATACATCTTCAGCAGCCAGTAATGTGTCCATGCATTGGCAGACAGCCTTAATGTTTTTGTGTAGAGACTGTCCATTTATCATAAAATAATCCAAGAAGAAACAGCCTATTTTTTGAATATCAAAGCCCAGCATAATGTCCCTCAAAGAAAACTGCTGCAGTACCTTGATACTTTCTCAATGTGGGAGCTTAAAAGTTAAAATATGTCTGCATTCAGTGGTTAAGCAGATGTTTTCCAAAACTGAATGCAAATTTCAACAAATGTTTTCTTTCAGGCTTTCTTCATCGACTGTGAACATGAATTTTACTAGCACCCATACATTTTCTTATTGCCAGAGTAAAGCTATTGAAAGAGCAAACGTTATTTCATAATCGCTTATGTAGATACTAACGCAGAACATACCCAATGCTGTAAATGTGTGTAATGCATAACATTTGGCCCATGTTAACAGTGTTACGTGAAATTTAAACTTGTGATAAAGAAAAAAAAATCTTGTGTTTTAAAATAAACCCCCTCCTTTGTCATTAGGAATTTTTTAAAAAAATATATACTTTATTGATTTTTTACAGAGAGGAAGGGAGAGGGATAGAGTTAGAAACATTGACGAGAGAGAAACATTGATGAGCTGCCTCCTGCACACCTCCTACTGGGGATGTGCCTGCAACCAGGTACCAAGGTACATGCCCTTGACTGGAATCGAACCTGGGACCCTTCAGTCCACAGGCCGACACTCTATCCACTGAGCAAAACCGGTTAGGGCTGTCATTAGGAAGTTTTGTTTTCTCATATTTTCCTAGAGATATTAAAATAGTTTTCTGACTTTTGTTAATCCAAATACTTTTGCTTCATATTTGCAATGTCATCTCTAAGCAGTCTTTTGATTCCTTATATGTTCATTTTATAATATAAAGTTTTGCCTACTTGGAGTCTTTTCTATGACCTGAGACCTGACATATTTTAAAATTCTTGCCCAAACATAAAGGCAATGTAACTTCCTAACGTCCATCTAAAGTACCCTTCAACACCACAGTACCTGGTCAGCGGTAATGGACGATTGAGAATGAACTACGATGCTTATGAAATAGATGATTATTTCCACACATAATTTTTTATTATAGTGTGTTCTTATCATTTTTACTGACATTCATGGATGATTTTTCTAGTCATCAGGAGAAAAAAACATACCTTCGTTATTAGTGAGTCAGACAAATGTATTTTTTATGTTTAAGCAAAGCTGTGAAATATCTATACATTTTAAGATCTAGGTGTCCACTGCAAAACATTAAAGTTTGAAAAAAATTGTTAAATAAGTGAAGTGCTTTCTTGTGTAGAAATATTTACATACATTGTTATGAGGGGCAATATTTCTAATTCCAGATCCACATTCATAAAGGATCTCCGAAGAGGATGCTGGGGAGACTGAGGTGGCAGCTGAGTCACCCAGGTGTCTGTGTCTGTGACTCTTTACCTGTACAGGTGACCTTTCGTTGGTGCTGTCATATTCCTACTATGATATTTGCCATTAAACTGAAGGAAACACTTCCACGGAAAGACTAAGCATAGGCAGAATTTTCTTTTTTTTTTTTTTTGGTTTCTCCCATTCTTCCGAACTATTTTGGAATTTTGCATCATGGTGTTTTGGGCAACTAATTGCAGCTACAGTAAGCAAGCACCAAACTGAAATGGATGAATGTTGAGTGAAATAGCCAATAGCGGGCCACGTGACCGAAATGGAAGTAGGGCAACCACGGTGTTTAGATGCACCTTATGATCACGCATGAACCCACAGAGCAGCCGACTTGGCTCATTTTGTGCCGCAACCCGGGGGCTGCAAGCTCGCGTCAAACCAGGCACCTGCTGCTTAAAGACGATCTAGCAGTGGGGTTAGCTGGCCCCACTGCTGATGTAATGAGCCAGCACTGATTTCCCCTCGTAATTCTGGATCTTTCCCCCACAGCAAACTATTAAGCACTTCTATTTAGGGTTCGTTAGCCACCCTCCAGTGCTTCCACACACCTGCACGGGGAGCCTTTTCTGCAGCTCCCTACCTGCCAGGGGGGCCGGGACTTCAGCCCCCGAGTTCTTTATTGGGCTCTTTGTCTTTCTGTCAGTTGTAAGAGGAGACCAAGAATTTCCTTAACTGAAAATCCGTTTTTAAGGCTATTTTATTTTTAACTCTGTCCCTCACCCCATACTGTTTGTTTCTGGATTTGTACCATATTCACGATTATGAGCTGAAGACCGAGGGCAAAACAGGAGCTTGTGGGAGTGAATCTGTTGCCTCGCTGTGGTAAAAGCTGCATCTTTTTACAAAGTTCATTACCCAGCCAGGGCGATCACCTGGGAGGGGAAGCGTATCCATCATCAAATCCGCTAAATAGTTTACACCATCCCTCATGAGCTCAGAGCGCTCTATTTGTGGGATTCTGTCGAACACGAAAGTAGGGAGATTGAAAATAAATGAGTAGAAGAAATGATCCCTGGGCAAGAAAATGAGGAAACATCAATATATGTCAACAAATTTATAGTCAATCCAACCAAGTATACCGGCTGATTGAAAACCTGAATATATAACCACTCCTAGTAATGCCATAGACATATTTTAGGAATGAAATTTAAGTATATTAAGAAAAATAGAGACACAGAAATTTAATATACCAACCAAATATGTGTATGGACCATTGTATTTGTAATTCTGATGTTTATGCATAGGTATTCAAGCAATAATAAAGCATTTAGAGCTTTAAAATTATATAAATGATACTCTGGAAGTCTGTATGGTATGTTCCCTCCAGGGGCTGATGATTTTGACATCAATTTCTCTGTCTTCCATATAAAAGGAGATTTAATGTAAGGGGCATGCTCTTTCCTCTAATAGAGAGTGGTAATGGTAGAAACTTTCCCTGTCTTTAAAATCCTTGACTAATTTTCTATTTAAATGTTTACAAATGGTTTGTTTTAAAAGATCCCGACTCTAGCCTGGGGCATGGCTTAGTGGTTGAGTGTCATCCTATGAACCAGGAGGTCACTGTTTGATTCCTGGTCGGGGCACATGCCTGGGCTGTGGGCTCCATCCCCAATAGGGGGTGTGCAGGAGGCAATTGATCAATGATTCTCTCTCATCATTGATGTTTCTATCTCTCTCTCTCTCTCTTTCCTCTCTGAAATCAATAAAAATATATTTAATAAAAAGATATCCTGACCCTTTTAGGAAACAATTTCTAGTATAATCTGAGTTGACTAACCCATTGCTAGTCAATACTCCAGTCAAGAATTACAGAAGCTGGG